ATTGGACTAGATGATCTTTCGAGGTCCCTTCCAATCTCTAACATACTGTGATACTGTGAACCTGCTCTAGTGGAAGGTGTCCCTGCCTGTGGCAGGGGTTGGAACTGGGTGAGCGTTAAGGTGTCTTCCCACCTAAGCCATCCAAAGATTCAGTTTTAGTTTCCACCTTGTTGCTTTCATTCCATTCCTTTTGGCTAGTCCATGATATCATGGGGTTTCTTCTATCTGCTCTTTTACGGAATGTAAAGTCTGCCTTTTTATCTCCTTTGTTTTAGGGAAGAAAGCTGGAGGGGCCTCCTGTTCTTTTACAGGCCTCATCTTGCCTGTAAGCTCTCCTTTCTGCCCATGTTTTATAGATGCATACACAGCCATTGATAGGGCTGCAGAGGTGTCAGCTCTTCTGACTTCTCATCATAATATATTCTGTTTCAACACTGATGTTTGAATATTCACATTTTATAGCTCTATTAAACAGCATAAGAGAGTCCTAGATTCAAAAGTCCCACCCAATCATTCAACAGTGCCAAAAAGGGGCTGAGCATAACTCTTCAGACTTCCAAGACATTCCTTGCATGATTTTGATACCATTCACAAGCCTGTTTCACTGTTGCTATTCTGGACACTTGTGCTTCTGCTGGCACGTCCTGATCCACTGGGATGCTTTTTAAGAACTCAACACAAGTGCGTGTAAGGAACACGAGTTTTTGAGGTACAAAGAATAAGACACAAGCAAGCAGTAAGGGAAAAAGTCTTCAAGGATCTGAGCATTTCCCCTCTTTAGATGCCTCTGTGTCTCTGCAGAAAGAGCTGAACCACTAAATGATGTGTAGATGACATGTTTCAGCACAAGAGCTGACATCCACAGCCAGCCTCCCAGTGTGAGCTCCTGCCTTCTTATGTGAATGCATCCAAGTATATCCAGCAAGAAGAGATCTTGCTCCTTGCTCTCTTATCTTAATGCTCTACCCTGCTTTCTGAGCACACCCATTGACACTTCTGTTCGTGTATTCCTCCTTTTTGCCCCTTCTTTCTTGGATGTGCAACAGGAAGGTGTGATCTCAAAAGCTGATACACCTTGGGGATTGCTCCCCTATAAACAGATAAAGGAAAGTTGAGGCTTTTAGTACTTTCTAATGGGTTCAAATCCCAAACTAGCTCTGGTTTTGGTTTTGCCATAGGAAAGGGAAAAACAAGATGACTGAGGTTTGCCAAGTGCAAAACACAGCTGCCCAAGCCTTTTAATAGATAGAGGTATTCAGGAAATGCAGGGACTCTAAATAAGAAAGCTGTGACCCTTATGAAATGAGATTAAATAACCCTTACAAAAACAAACGAGAGGAGGAAGAGACTGGGAATTTGAGAGGCTGTGCAGTTTTGCTTCCACCTCTCATCCATCAGGGCTCCTTTTAGTCTCAGCTGCTTAAAATTGAAATCCTTTTCTTTCCTGGACCTTGGTCAAAACTTGCCATGCCTGACAAAACATGAGTTATTCCCGAGCAGCACCGAGCTCCTGCCCTTGGGCACTGTTGATATCCTTTGTATCTGGATTGGTCTTGGCTTCTGTGGGCATAAAATCAATCTCCTGCCTAATGGGGCTTTGACTGACATGTGCTCATCAGTGTTGATGTCAAGTGGCCATCTCCAACCAGCAGAGAGAATTAAGCAGTGATAATGTCAAAACATACAGAAGACAACAGAGAATCCTCGTTTATTGGTCTTGAACAGCTGGGGTAGATATTTGAGCTGCTGTTTGCTTTCAATGCAATACAGCTGCAGTGGGCAGAAATGGTCAGTGACTTGGTTAGTTTGCCACAACCTAGCTTTCCTTCTTGCATGCAATCACAAAAGTGGCTGGTGATGGTTTAGGGGGTTTCTGATGCTCTGCTACATCACTTATAACTACAGGCCTCCCACAAATGGTTAAGAGATTCCAACATATTTCTCCTCATTTTGTTCTTAGGAAGGGGAATAATAATGTTCTTGTTTTACAGATGCAGGACCAGGGCACTTGGGGAAAAAGGCCCCATCCAATAATACAGTTTGCTTTCGTTTAGTAACCTAAGCTCAAAGATGCTCTTCCCTAAGCTATAGGAGACTGCTACCTTATTATGAAGGCAGCTATTAAGTGCTTCTTAGAGCTCAACTCCAGAACATCTTGGTGCTGTGCTGCTGGTCTAATCAACACCAGCCTAGACTCAGATGTTATTCCAAAAGCTAAACATTTCTTAACCCTCTCCATAGCAGCTAAGGACCTTAGCATCTTGCCTGCTCCCTCAAATTCATGCATCCTGCACATCATCTTTCTGCTCGGTGGCCTGCCTTCACAGCAGGAGGGATGTTACCCTATGCCATTCTGAACCCAGTCATTTAGGGAGGAGGAATCTGGGCGAGCAGAGTGAACTTGGATCCCCCATTTCATGAGTTTCTGAACACAGGAAAATGCTGCAAGCTCTATGCATCACTTAAAGAAGTGAAGTGCCTCTAGTTCAGAGCGAGTTATGGGTCCTGAGTGAATGGCAGAACCTCCCTGGAGGCCCTACAGACAAGATGTATGTAAGATTGCTCCTGCGCTCAGCATCCCCCATGGACTAGCTACAGGCAGCTGCATGGAGAACATGCAAAACTGAGGCCACTTGCCATGCTGACCATTGTGGATCCCATTCTGTCACCTTCTTTTTGCATGCTTTCCCACAGAGTCCTGGACCTAACAGACATGGGTTTCCTTCTAGGGGCTGTAAAATTGTTAGCTTGCCTTTTGACTTGAGCTTTGTCCCAAAGTAGGCTGGATCTGGGAAAGGAAAGGCTCCAAGAACAAGTTCTGCCAGCTGCTACTTGTCTGTTAAAACTGAAAGAGGCTTCTCCTTCAAGGCAGTTGCTGCTCCTGAAGCCAGGCGTTTTCCTTTGCATGGGAAAGCCATAACTGCCTGCGAGATAGCTTTGATCTGATTTTACAAGGATAAAACTAAGTTTCCCTGTATTCTTGCTCTGCCTCCATTTAGCAGCGAGCCATTCTCTTTTGTGCTCCCCACATTTTTGGAGAGCTGGTCGCCGCTTATTTAGGTTGGCACAGACTAAATATAACCGAGTGTCTGTGTGTGAGAGCACGCACTGGGTCACAGCACTAAGAGCGGCAGCAGCAAGAAGTGTCCTGCCTTTCCCTGCAGAGCAAGGGGGTTATAGGCAAAATCCAGCTATTCGGAGGCAGCTCAATGAAACACACACAACCTGAACAAAAAGTAAGTATTCCATTCAACTTGTGAATGCTTGGGAAACACAGGTTTTTTTCTTGCCAGCTTTTACAGTCCACAGCCTCCTCATTCAATCTTGAATAATAGCTCTGAATTGAGCTGTAAAAGCTTCCGAAGTTTGATGGCTTTTGACAAGTTAATTCAGCTGTATGGTAAAAAGTTTTTCCCCCAGATAGAAGAAAGCCATCATATCATGAATGTAGTAGTCATCCAAGGGAAAGAAAACACCATTAGGATTAGAAATGATGGGCTTTATGGAGATAGTTTGTGGTTTAGTGTAATCTACCTTCAATATTTCAGTAGTGAAATCTTCTCCTCATCATTCAGTTGGAAGTCAATATCTTCACTTCAAGCCAACACCCAGGGGCTACACTGCATATATTTTTTATTGAAAAAGTAACTTGCTTGTTTGTCAGGTTTTTTTTTTTCCTTACATTTATTTAGGTTTTAATTGGTTTTCACCCTGTGTCATGCAGGATGTTTTCCCCTCCTCAGCTCCCCAGTTGAAAAAGACAGAAGAGAAACATGAATCAATATTTCCTCTAAGGTTCCCACTATAGAGACACGCTTTTCTCCCAGCAGCTGCCATGGGTGAAACTCAAGGAAACAATCAGAAAACAATCACTGGTAAACTAAGTGTATCCAACAGTTTTTATAGCTTCAGCTTCACAAGCATTCCATATTGATGTTATTCTGATTTCTTGTTTAATCCCAGACTGGTTGGGTTGAAGGGACCTCAAAGCCCATCCAGTTCCAACCCCTGCCACAGGCAGGGACACCTTCCACTAGAGCAGGTTGCTCCAAGCCCCTGTGTCCAACCTGGCCTTGAACACTGCCAGGGATGGGGCAGCCACAGCTTCTCTGGGCACCCTGTGCCAGCGCCTCAGCACCCTCACAGGGAAGAGCTTCTGCCTAAGAGCTCATCTCCATCTCCCCTGTTCTGGCAGGTTAAAGCCATTCCCCTTGTTCTGTCCCTACAGGCCCTTGTCCAAAGCCCCTCTCCAGGTTTCCTGTAGCCCTTTTAGGCAATGGAGCTGCTCTGAGGTCTCCCCAAAGTGCAGCAGAGGGGCAGAATCCCCTCCCTGAGCTGCTGCTCATGCTTTGGGGGTGCAGCCCAGCACAAGCGGGGCTCTGGGCTCAAGTGCACACTGAAGCCAGGTCATGGGGAGCTTCTCCTCACCCAACATCCCCAAGTCCTTCTCCTCAGGGCTGCTCTCAATTATGCTCTCACTTTATGTCTATATTTAAGCCTTAGTATGCCACTAAAATTGACTGAACCAAAATGACAGTTGAGGGGGAAAAGAGATTTCTTTCAAACTCTTAACTCTTCAGCTTAATGGAGAGGGATGATGACACAGTAAGAACTTTTTGGCAGTGTTTTTTAATGGCTGCAGAACACTTCTTCTCTGTATCACAGAATCACAGACTGGTTTGGGTTGGAAGGGACCTTAAAGCTCATCCAGTTCTAACCCCCTGCCATGGGCAGGGACACCTTCCACTAGAGCAGGTTGCTCAAGGCCCCATCCAACCATTTCTAAATAAATGGTTTATAAAATCCAGCAAAATTCAGTCAAAACAAGTCTTACCAAGGAAATGTATTTTACAAGGGTATTTATTGTACTTAGGCTAAAAGGACTGCCATAACACTCCAATCTGTCTTCACCAGCAGTCTTCATACCAGCTTTCTCAGTAAGTCTGTCTTCCTTAGATTTGGTTTCCTAACAGCATCAACATGGCTTTTCCTTAGGGCAGCTCAAAGAGGAGAGTTGTTACCCTGCTATCCAGGCTGCACAGAATGGCCATTTTCAGGTGTAATTCAGGGATAGAATATGCTGGAGGTGAGCTACCTGGGTGTGAGTTTCCAGCTGCGTTGCACCAAACTTTCACCAAACCTCCAGCTCGGGACGTTAAGCATTGGCGAGTTTGTGGCTCTCTCATCTACCACCATCAATCCTTGCATTCCACTGGATTTGATGTTACTGAAATAAAGAGTATAATTTGAGAACCAGTACATTTTAAGAAGCATAAATAAGAAAAGGAGAGCAAATTTTACACTGTGACCTTTACTATGAACTTCACTTGCTGGCTTTTTCTGCACTCCCCCAAGTGGGCAACAGGGACTTGAGTCTGTCCAAGACAACAGCAATAACTTGTTTGTTAGAGACTGGCTCTTAATGCTTCAGCATATAAGCTTTTCAGTCCTTGAGTGTTGAAGACTTGATGAAGTGTTGGGTCTGCAGACAAGCTGGAAAAATAGCTCCTGCAGACAGGCTTCTTCAGCCTCAACAAGCACTCCAAGAAGTGGAGGAGAACCTCCTTTACAGCTCACATTAAGGCAGACAAGATTGCTCTGCACAGAAGACAGATTTCACATGACAGCAAAAACCAGAGACGTCTCTTTCTGCAAGAGGACAAGATTTTACAGTTCTTTATAAAGATACAAGAAGAAGTTGGAGCTGAAGCAAATTTCACCAGGAAAAAACAGCCCCAAAAGGTACGTGGAGGAAAACACAGGAGTGGGGTGATGTAAATTTAACATTCTCTGTTCTATTACAGCTGTGTCTGAAGTGTGGTTGGTTTGTTGGGTTTCTTTTCGATGGCATAAAAAGAATACGCTGTTGGAAGGATGCGGAACAGATGGGAGTGGGAGCTATAGCAAAGAAGGGTGGCTGGCAAGAGAGGAATTTCAAGGGAGAGCAACGATGGCAACTAACTGATCAGGGAGAGGGAGAGGAAGGGTAAGCAATCACCAGGTAAAAACTTATATCTAGGCTTGCCCCTCTCTAAACAAGCCGGTGGCACTTGAAGGAAGCTTTTTGGCTGGGCTCTAGAGGGAGATCCTGCTGGCTTTCTTCCTACCTTCTTTTTATTGGCCATGGAGGTGGTGGGAGAGGCAGGATTAGAGTGGAAGACTGAAGCATCCTCTGTTATTGCCACCAGCTCCCTGTGACTAAACAGGGAAATTAGCTGGAGTGTTGTGAGGGCTGTGATTTCCTGCTTAAGAACATGAAGAGTGGAACCATTCCTGACAAACAAGAAGAAGAGTTGAGGTAAAGCTGAGGTGGAGGTAGGCACGAAGTTCTGGAATTGCATTCTATTTCAGACTTCATGAATTAGCTCTGCCAATTCCTTTTTTATTTATCTTATTTTGATTTCTTACTTCAAATGGCTTCTGAGTGAATGTTTCAGCTGCGACGAAGGAAAAGCAGACTGTGCTATGTACAGTTGGGTTTTAGAATATAGGAAGAATACTTGTTCTGGTTAATCTCTGCTCTAATTTACATGAACGATTACAAGGTTTAATTTTCTGTCATTATGCACAGGTTAGCCTAGACTGGATATTAATAGACACACATATTCACACCCACAACCACTACTACTGCATCAATCAAATCCTGAAGAGAAAACTTACACTCCATAGCAACTTTTAGGGCACAATTTTCTTCTTGTTTCCTCTCCTTAAGCTACCTCATGAGCTCCTCAGAGCAGCCTTCCAGTATCTGAAGGGGGCAATAAGGATGCTGAGAAGGGACTCTTCATCAGGGACTGTAGCGATAGGACAAGGGGTAACAGGTTCAAACTGAAACAGGGGAAGTTTAGATTGGATATAAGGAGAAAGTTCTTTACTGTGAGGGTGGTGAGGCACTGGAATGGGTTGCCCAGGGAAGCTGTGAATGCTCCATCCCTGGCAGTGTTCAAGGCCAGGCTGGACAGAGCCTTGGGTGACATGGTTTAGTGTGAGGTGTCCCTGCCCAAGACAGGGGGGTTGGAAGTGGATGATCTTAAGGTTCTTTCCAACCCTAACTATTCTATGATTCTATTTTAGCAGTGCAGAAAGCATTGGAGGCAACTGTTGCAGCCAGGCAAGTAGCCTTTGGAGTTTGTAGCCAAGAGAAGGGGTCTGCAGTACAACAGCACAACATCCAACCCTTAATGTTGAGGGCATGGGTGGCACCAAAGGTACCTCTGGGCTCCATTAGTTTAGAAGTTGCAATAGGCAACAAGATGTTGGTTGTAACCCATGTTGGTGACTAAACCATCTCCCAGCTGTACCAGAAATGGGGAGCCACAAGAGAGGGCAGGCAGCCTTTGCAAATAGTACCTTGTCTGCTCCACAGGCTGCATTAGTGACTTCTACTCCTAAAGCACTCCCATCTCTTGACAAAAATAACTGAAGATTATTTATACACACACACACGAGATCACACAAAGTGGCCTTGAATAAAGATAGAACAACCATAGGAGGAAACCTAAAACCTCACCAACCAAAGAACGACAAACAAACAAGCCCACAAGCCAGTATAAGCTAAATATGAAACAAAAAGGGCTTCAGCTTTATGCAGAAGTGGTGCTCTTCATGCCAGCAGTGCTCTTAGGTGCATGTTGGACTTGATGGACTTCAAGGTCTTTTCCAACCTAGGTGATTCTATGAAGACTTCAGGCCTTCTGCATGCTCAAGCTTAGAATAAGCAAAATGTAATGGTTGTAAGTTGTCAGTAATAAATAATTCCACTCTTAAAGAGTGGAAACCTGAAGTTAATAGGATGCTATTGCTGGTAGAACTGTCAAGAGTAACTGTGACCTCTGACAAGACCAGAGCATGTTGTTCACAGCATGGGAAAGTGAGCAACTGGAGGGGTCAGATCAATATGGCAAGGATTTTGAGATGGGTGGCCCTTTCAAATGGAAATGCAGTTGCTAAACATCTCACAGTAAAGAAAAAAGGTGTTTCTATATTACTATGTCTATGTAAATTTTGAGGGAGGGCCAAAGTTGTAAGCATTTCCCTTCTGATTCCAGAATGTATGGAAATCCAGATGGCTGAACTACAGGAGTTCATTTTTCTTTATGGCAAATCTGGATGTTTAAAAACAACTTCGCAAGAGTCAATAAATCAAAAGCAGCAGAAGTCTGCTGGGATGGCTGCCTACAAATAGGAATGTTGTGTTTCAGATCGTCTTACTCCACGGTGTTAAGGATCTCTATGAAAGCTAAGTGGGAGTCCTCTTTAGTGTACTGACTGGGCTATGAGTAGGCACAGTGATTGCTACAAGAGGTGTGAGAGCAGACCACTGTGTCCCCAGGGCTCGTACCATGAACTACTTTTAACTGTGTAAGCCAATGGCTCCACCTATGTGAAGTACAAGAACCCTCTGCATGCTCTACCTGGATCGCAGAGGTTTGAAGGCTGTGTAGACGGCATTAAACTCTGAATGGAACTGGACAGCGCATGGGTCACCTTCTTTCTAGGACCACCATGGTGGCTTGCCTTCAACAAAAGGTTGAAAGCCATCATAAAAAAGGGAGCAATAATATTTGATGTTGTGACATTTGAGACTTGGACTTCCTTTGGCCATTGGCAATGTCTTCAAAGAAGCCTGAGATGGTATCTACTGCATCTTAGGCAGGATGCTCCCAGCAGAGCATGCCTCACAGGTGTACCCTGGCTAAGCTTTCTCACACCAGCTAATAGAGATCCCAAAATATTTTGCTTCCCATATTGTGGAATGTTAAGAAAGCTGGAGAGTAGCTTTTTAGAAGGGAAGGGAGTGATAGGACAAGGGGAATGGCTTTAACCTGCCAGAGGAGAGACTGAGATGAGCTCTTAGGCAGAAGCTCTTCCCTGTGAGGGTGCTGAGGCGCTGGCACAGGGTGCCCAGAGAAGCTGTGGCTGCCCCATCCCTGGCAGTGTTCAAGGCCAGGTTGGACACAGGGGCTTGGAGCAACCTGCTCTAGTGGAAGGTGTCCCTGCCTGTGGCAGGGGTTGGGACAAGATGAGCTTTAAGGTCCCCTCCAATCCAAATCAGTCTGAAATTGTGTGACTCGCTTCTTGCATTGTCCTAGTCAAAGGTAAATCATCGAAACACAAGCGAAGTGAGAGTTGTGGCAGCTCTGGGCTTGGCTAATGAAGAAAGTGCAGCTAGAGAAGACTTGACAGTTCAATAGAGTAATTCTTTAGAAAATAGCAAAATCAATTAAATGTTGAATGGTTGCTAGGAACACATGGGTAGAGGCAGTGCACTGAACAATCCATTTTATTTCTTTACTCTTGGTAATTGAGGCCAAGATTAGCAGAGATTTTTTTAAGTATGTTCTCCCCTTTTCGTGTATTTTTTATATCCCGATTCAGCTGTTTGCTATTAAAAACAGAGCACTCAGCAGCCATTTTTTATAGACAATACTTGATGGGTAAAAAAGTAACACTTTGGTGCAGAAAACTGACAAAAAGTTTCATATTCTATGAAAATACTATACATAGATGAATGGGTTTGGGTTGAAGGGACCTTAAAGCTCATCCTGTCCCAACCCCTGCCACAGGCAGGGACACCTGCCACTAGAGCAGGGTGCTCCAAGCCCCTGTGTCCAACCTGGCCTTGAACACTGCCAGGGATGGGGCAGCCACAGCTTCTCTGGGCACCCTGTGCCAGCGCCTCAGCACCCTCACAGGGAAGAGCTTCTGCCTAAGAGCTCATCTCAGTCTCCTCTGTTCTGGCAGGTTAAAGCCATTCACCTTGTCCTGTCCCTACAGGCCCTTGTCCAAAGCCCCTCTCTAGGTTTTCACATGCCATGGCTTGCATTTGCTCCAGCATTTCTAGTTAATCCTTCTCCGTTAGTATCCTGAGAATCAAAAAAACCTTAGTTTTTGCTGTCTCAAACTACCCAAGGAAGGAAAACATCAGAATGCATCACTTTCCTGTTATAAGTGAAAGAATTCACTTCCAAACAATCCATCACCTCTAGCTGTCTTTTGACTGGTGCTATTTACTTGATCTCAAGCACAAGCTCTTCCCTGTGAGGGTGCTGAGGCGCTGGCACAGGGTACCCAGAGAAGCTGTGGCTGCCCCATCCCTGGCAGTGTTCAAGGCCAGGTTGGACAGAGGGGCTTGGAGCAACCCGCTCTAGTGGAAAGTGTCCCTGCCCGTGGCAGGGGGTTGGAACTGGATGCTGCCGCGGTAACACTCCAACACATCCCAAACAGTCTCCAGGTCTGTCCGGGCCTTCAAAGCCGAGTGGGCACCTCCGGCCTCGGAGACCCACACCCGTGTTCGGGCTCTCAACCCCCCTCGCTGCTCGGCCGCCCCGCCACAGGCCGGAGCTCGGCTCCCCTCCGGGAC